ACAACTTCCATCTCTGAGGGTAGATACAAATTTCTAACTATCCAAGTGGAATGACCATATCATATATAAGTACGATCTATGACCACAATCATACCAGCCATACTGGCCCTAATAGTTACGACATTACTTAGCCACAGGTGACCCCTACAGACAGTGTGACACCACTCTCGTCAGATGGTACACCGTCATCCACTAGGAGCGGTCCTTTAAGGTCTTTTCAGACCAGAAGGGGAGGAAAAAACAGATACTTTGAAGGAAAAGGGGAACAAATATCCCTCAGAGATAAAAAGTCTAACGAGACACTTGATGCAATATGCATGTCAATACAGATACACTTCGACCATACAGGCTTTATTCCATTTTTTTCTTTTTTTTTTTCTTTTATACTTTTACTGTTACTGATTACATATTATATTTATTACATGTAAATTCATCAAGTGTCTGTAATTTACATAGTTTGCTTGAAAACAAGAACAATTCCACTCATTCGAATACAGAGGCATACAAAATAGGTAAATTAACAATCATATTAAATTAATTTATCTAAAAATACTCCTTAAGACATTGAAAGAAATACTAGATTTCTTACCAAAACCTTAATGTTTTTCTCCTTCATTATTCTCCTTTCTTTCTCTTTTTCTCTCACTAGACTACTATATATCTCTCTCTAAACCTTTGAAACATGGAAGAATGGAAGTGTGCAGAGGAATGGAAGGGGGAGGCTAATTTATAGAATTTTGGAACCACTGGATTCGTGCCAAGTGACAAAATCTGGTGAAGAGAAAGAAAAAAAAAGATGCTCAGTATGAAAAACGAAGGAGGAGGGCCTCTTCTGCTGGTGGCGGCGTGCCACTTAAGGCAGTAGCGGCACGTTGCCCAAGACAATGACGATGCACTGCCCGAGGTGCCAGTGCTCCGGCTGACATACTGTAGGCTCAGGCACATAGGCCTCTTGTCGCACATGCGAGGTGATGCGTGGATGGCTTGCCTACGCGCGACAGGTCGCGCGCACCGGTCCTGACCTCGCACCGTGTGCGTTGTGCGCACATCTGTGCTTACACGTGCGCCAAGGGGGCGTGCACGCTGTGCTCACGCCCTGTGCGTTTGTGCGTGCGGAGGGGATATGTGCACTGTGCGCACGTCCCACGACCACTGTGCGCACATACGTGCGAGCACAATGCCCAGCACCTGTGCGAGCAACCAGCCTTCTCGTGGGATTTTTTCTGCAGGAATTTTCCCATTTTATCGTTTTTCTGGTTTTTTTTCCTAAATTTCATTCTCAATTTAATTTAATTAAATTAAAATGATTTAAAATAAAATAAAATAAAATTATTTAAAATAAAATAAAATTATTTAAAATTAAATAAAATTAAATAAAATAAATAAAAATCAACTAAAATCACAAATCACGATAAATGTTAAACAACATAAATTAATTAAGTTTAAAGCGACCAAAGTGCCGAATAAATAGAGTTTTTATATCATTTTAGCACAGTGATGGGCGGGATGTTACAGTTTATGTGAGAGTACTTCCTAAACAAACACTAAAATATATATACACACATATATATAACTTCAACTCTATATGGATATAAATATATACATATATATATTTTTTCATAGTTTCTTACACTTGTTTTATGTGTATTACATCCCAAACAAACACTTAAACACGTGTATATATAGATATGTACATATATATGTATATATATCATACTATGTATGTAAATATGTGCATATCTTTATTTTCTTTCTCTTTTTCTAGTATGATAAATTCTTCAATATTAGTTATGTTTTTTTCTTCATATGTTACCAAACATTAAACATTCATTAAATTTAAAAGCAAAAAACAAAAGTAATATATACACATGTGAATTGCCAAAATATAAGTGTCCGTGATTTTAGGTTTAGGTTGAAATATATATCATTACCTATTTGTTGAGTTAAGGGAGACTTACAGATTGTTCTAGGTTTAGATTGAAAAAAGAGTCGGCGGTCCTTTATGGCTTTTCCACAAAGACCACCAATATATAACATTTGCTTATCCTCATCATTATTTCTCTCGTTGCCTTTTTTATTAATCACAACACCTTTATTTGATTGTTGCCTCATCATCATGAACAATTCTTCTAAAGGACTCTTCTTATTGAATTCTGAAATCTTCTCTTTCATTTTCTTATCGTACCTCTTCAATACACCTCTTGATTTATAGTTTGGGTTATACATCTCAGGAAGAACAATATTTCTTTTTGCTTCCTGAATAAAAATTATATTACTTATAATATAATTGTATAATTACTTAAATATTCATCAAATTGTAGCCACCAAATAACAATTTGTAATATATAGAAATAAGAAATGAAGTTATTTCATTAATAAAATTTATAAATGTATAGTGTGTAAAAATTAATCTAATTACAACAGGATCAATATCTTCTTCTACCATCTTTCTTTTTTCCTTCCTCATTGCCTTCCCAGTCATTTATAAGTACCAAGAAATCAAGTTAATGTAATTTTCTTTTATATGCACCTATTAATCACTACATATTATGTAATTAGGTCAAGTAAGTTACTTGAGCATAATCATTTTCATTTCCTATGTTCTTCATTTTGGAATCCATGCATCTTGTCTCCAAAGACTTCATTATCTGTACAATGACATAAAAGGGAGTTAAATCTAATAATCTACTCACTAAAAATAATATCAATTTCAATCTTATATGTTAATTAACTACTTTATCAATGACAGACGACATCTCTCCTGCCACTTTCTTATGGTTTTCCTCATTGGTTGATATTTATAAATTAACAAGCAAACCAAGTATATTTTAATCAAAATCT